AAGATCCGACCCAAGTGAAGGAGGATCGGGTTAACTCGACCCCTGCAGATTCAACCCGATTGTGGTGTGGTTCTGATCTGATTAGTTTCTCATATCAATTCAGATCACGTTTTTTTTTTTTTTTTTTTTTTTTTTTTTTTTTTTTTTTTTTTTTTCAGCCTGTGTAATCTGTTAGAGGCTAGTTCTAATTATTTTATTGGCTTGGCAGTGTTCAGTTTGGTCTTGGCTGTTCTAGTTTCTTCTCTTCTCAACTTCTGTTTTGTATTTCTTCCCAACTCCTGGATCCATAGCAGAACCTAGTGAAATCAAGACAACTGCTGCTGCATTTACTGATCATGTTAGGCTGCAAATTACTACCGTTAAACTGAGTAATACCAATTATTTGTTATGGGCTCAGGCTGTGAAGATATCTTTAGGGGCTCGAAGGAAGCTCAAATACATTAAAAATGATCCTTCATCTAAAACTGATAAAGGATATGATGATTGGGAAACTGAAAATTACATGAAAATTATATTGTAAATAAGCTAGACTTGTCTCTCAGACTCTCTCTCTCTCTCTCTCTCTCTCTCGCTCTGTACCTATATCGGTTTAACCCTGCCAAGTAGAAGTTGGGGTTACCATATAAAACTGGGAACAGTTAAGAAAAATTATAAAACTTATCTTAATATTTTAAGAAAAATTAAGATAAGTTTTTTTTTTTGGGATAATTTCACTGACACCCCTATTAATTTGGCCAAATATCAGTCTAAAACATTTTTCGAAAATAACTATCACTTAGGTCCATTTTCGCTTTTCCGTTACAGCCTCCGTTAAAATAATGGGAAAAAACATGTTTGCCCCTAATTTTTTAATCATATTTATTCCAAAATATTAGATAACAGAAATGACTTCTTTATCCCTACCCACACTGTTTCTCTCTCCTCTATCTCTATATGGCTACAAGTCGCAGACCCAAATTTCCCCTTCTTCCCCTTCACTCACCGGTGGGCGAAATACCGGCTGTCCAAGCCGCCGGCAACCAAAATTCGCTTCTTCTTTGATGTTGATTTTGCTGGTACTATTTGATTGCTAGAAGAAGAGACGCTCGCTTCACCTGAAGCTGTGGAATCATTCATGGCGGATGAGTTATTGAAGTTTGGTTGTGTTGGGAAAACCAGAGGGTAATATTTTGAGATTGTTGTGGGAGAGGTCAAGAACAGAGAGGTTTCAAAAACCAGAGAGATGAGCCAAGTTAGTGAACCTGTTCGTAGAAAGATTGAGGACTTGAATTGATGAAAATGAAGCTATATCTGAAGTGGGTTCGAACCCAATGGTCCATTCGAATTGATTCTTGGAGAGATTGACTTTGGTGAGAGATGGGCTGGACCAGAACCAACCTGGAACAAAGCCTTTGAGAGAATTGTTGGAGAGGTCGATGGTTTGAAGGTGAGACATGTTTCTGAGGAACCACCATGAGAGAATACCAGTGAGGTTTCTGGAGGAGAGGGCCGGAGTTGAATCTATTGTCTTCGGGATTACTGCAATTTCCGGCGGAGAAGTGGTTGGTGCAGAGAAGAGGTGGTGGAAGGAATTGGGCATAATTTCCTGAGTGGTCTACCGCACAATTTCGGATTTCCGAAAAATGATTTCGTTTCGTGGTTGAAGAAAACAGGTGATTCCAAAATTTCTCTGGTGAAATTGTTGAATGACAGATCAAGAGCGAAGTTCGCTGGAATTTTGTCTGCGAAATAGTGTTTGGACAGAAAATGAAATTAAGAATATGAATGTAGTTGGTGGTATTAAGTATCGAAATATATTGTTTTACAGGTATGCGAGTACTGTTTTAGTAATACATATTGTTAGTATTAAATAGAGTACATGAAATGTTTGGTTTTCCAGTTTCTACCATTACTTCTGACAAAAAATTGGAATAATTTTTATTTTCTTCTGAGAGAAACGAAGTGTGTTTTTTGACAAAGAACCAGTATTCGGTACTCTGAGCAATAAAGGAACTGGGAATTTCCTGCAACAACTTCCATTTTCTGTTTCCCACTATATAAACACATTCAATTTCTTAAAACATGCGATAACCCTTAAAATTTCATTAATTTCCTTAAAAATATATATATGAATGGATGATTTTTCTTATTTTAATTTTTAAATTTTTTCTTATTTTTCTCTTTCTCTTTTTAAATTTCATTAATTTCCTTACAAAAATAAAATTTTCTTATTTAAAATTTCATTAATTTCCTTAAAAAAATATATGAATGGTTGTTTTTTCTTATTTTATTTTCTATTTTAGTTTTTAAAATTTTTCTTATTTTTCTCTTTCTCTTTTTAAATTTCATTAATTTTCTTAAAAAAATAAAATTTTCTTACTTAAAATTTTATTAATTTCCTTAAAAAAATATAGAACCAAACACTTGTATGATGTATAATAGCCCTCAATACTAAACTGTATGATGTTGATCACCTACTTTATTTATTCTTGTATATGGAAAAGGAAGGGTAAACATGTCATTTGAATAGTCAACCTAAAGTCAAATGAGGGTAAATATGTAATTTTAATCATTAAAAAAATAATTTATTGGGTCAAACCAAAGTCAAAGGGCAAGAATGTCTTTTTACATGTAAAAAGTGGTCTGACACACCTGTCAACTAATTTTTGGGGTGTGAGTGAAAAATGGAGCAAACGTTTGTAATGTGAGTGATAGTTATTTTCGAAAGATGTTTTAGACTGATATTTGACTAAACTAGTGGGGGTGTCAGTGAAATTATCCCTTTTTTTTTTTAGTAAGTGGATAAAAGGGTCATTTTACATGACTTATATTTATAGTTATTAATTTATTCAACTGAAGTAAGGGTATTATTGTCATTTTATACTATATAGGGACCTATTTGCTTTGCACTATATCGATAATAGAAGGATTTTTTTGCACTTAACTCTTTATATATATGGTGTGTGATCCACTATTTATGAAAATTGACCCGGCTCATTTTCATTCAACCTATTAATCCTGTCCAAACTCGACTCAATCCGCCCATTTGCCACTCCCAAAACTAATGTTAAGAGGTCAGTGTAGTTTTTAAAGGGTTAATTCCACCTACACCCCCTGACGTTTGCCTATATTTCACACATACCCCCTCTACGTTTTATAATTCCACCTACACCCCCTGTCAGTAACCACCGTCAAGTTTACTAATGGAAATTTGTGATTTTACTATTTTGCCCTTGAATTATATATTAAATTTTATAACTCAATGAAAAAGACTTTTAACTCCCTCAGTTTAAATTAAATTTCTCTCTCTCTCACTCTCTTACACACACACACACACACACACACACACACACACACACACACATATATATATATATTTCCTTTCTTCTTCATTGTTGCCGGTGAGACCATCGAACTGAACTGACCTTCACCAGACTTGAGATCGCCAGACTGAACTGGGTCGAGGTAGCTGTGAACTTCGCCGCTGTTGTCTTTGATCTGGCTTACCTCGTTCTTGTCCAGCGTTACGACGGTGAGTACACGGCCGTAGATTCGATGGCGTTGAAGTTCAGCGTTTGGACTGAACTAAGAATTCCTCCTTTTTCAATTTGGCGAGCAGTGATTCAGTTATGCGAAACCCAATTCAGCGATTCAGTCGTTCTCAAAGCTAGAACGAACTAAGTTTGACCAAACCTAGTTCAGTCCGGTGAGCAGAGATTCCTCAACCCACCTCGGTGAAACCCAATTCAAAACGGCCATAGACACACCAGAGCTCTGTAGAAGAATTCGGCCTAGCTCTGTAACTTTGTCACCATCCGAACCATCACCATCACAACCCCAAGAATCTGATTCCATTCTTGTGTAGAAAAACGAAGTCAGATGTCGGCTCCTTCCGCCTCCACCACTGCCAAATGGACGTCGATGCCGAAGAATCGAAGGCGAAGTCGATTGCGGAAGACGACGCTAAAGACCAAGTTGATGTCGGCAGCAGGTTTCGAATTATAACCTCTACGGCATCGCAATTAATGTCTCTCAGCGGCAGGACGTCGGATTACGGGCTCGATGGCATCGTAATCGGCGGCAAAAATTAGTGTCTTGTGCTCCGACGGGAGACCGGACCCAGCCTTTACAGCTTCTCCAACATTGCGCTGTTAATCAACATCGTCGGCACTGAAACCCTCGATCGTGACTTTCTGGTATATATATATAATGGTATATAACATCACCCATATGGTGGCATGCACATTGCACAATTATTCAAGGGACAAAAAGTATCTTAAGTGGAGGTTGGCCAGTTTATGCTTAGATTTTCTCTCTCTATTTAATCATTCTTTGGTTGGATACATGCATACACAGTGTGTGGATAATATCTATAGTGTAATAATCTTTTATTCATAAAGTGAGTAAGAAATTCAACTACAGTTATATCGAATGATCATTATTCATGGATGAAATTTTTATTTATTGATGATTAGCAGGACTATTATATAAGCCTTGACCCTTGGGCAAACTGAAAAATTTAATTTAATTAAAAATTTAAAAAGAAATTAAAATAAAATAAAATATTATTTTTTAATTAAATTAATGGGTCTGTGTGTGAAAGGAAGAAGATGATATATATATATATATATATAGAAGTGAAAGGTAGGATATTCCTTGAGTTAACTAAGGGTAGTTTTGTAATTCCGTATTGGTGAACTGAGGTTAAAGATGTCATTTTAGACATTAGAAGGTTAAAATTGACTTTTTAACAATTTGCTGATGCTGACATCAGCACACACCATGAGTTGCTTAACGGCAGGGGGTAATTTGCTACACAAACCAAAACCTTAACGGAGGTTGGTGGAATATTGAAACATAGAGGAGGTATAAGTGGAATATGAGCAAACGTCAGGGGGTGTAACTGAAATTAACCCATTTTTAAAACATTAAAGATATTATGTCCCCATAATTGGAATAAAACTTTATTGGACGGATATTTTTACAAGACCCCCCAAGTTGCAGACCTAGAAAGAGAATGGTGGGCAGGCCCATTAATATCCTTTTCAAGCAGGTTTAAGTATGGGTTGAATTTTGCCACCATATGTATATAGGGCCAGCACAGCGCCAATATATTTCAGCAATTCGCAGATCGGCCCATATATCGGTAGAGACTAGAGAGTGGGAGAGGGGAAGAGAGAGAAGATGAACCACGGCCAGCAATCGAACGAAGGCAGACACGACGACGATACTGCGCTCTCCGATTTTCTCGCGTCCTTGATGGACTACACCCCTACTGTAAGTTTTCTTGTAAAATATTAAATACTAAGACATTTGCTATATCAATATATCATTGTAGTGAGAAAATATATATATATATATATATATATATCATTGTATTTTTCTTTGTCAAGATTCCTGACGAATTGGTAGAGCATTACTTGGCCAAAAGCGGATTCCAATGTCCCGATGTTCGACTGTAGGTACTCCCAAACTTTTTATTTATTTAACTTTTTTTATAAAAAAGGTTGAGATGCAAATATAACGGAAACCCAAGTTAAGAGGAATTTGACTGAAATAACCTGACTACTTGTACCCACTTGGTTCAGTTACATGCAGGTTTTTGTTTATGGTTTGAACTCATGAAATGTCTGCTATTCAATATTTCAGTTTAGTTGGTTTTCCTCAGTTTCATAATCAAACTAATGTTGAAGCCTCTTATATTTAATTTTTGAGTGTAACAGTGTGCTCAGTTTTCCCTGCTATTCTTAGTTCTTCATTTGTGCTATACTGTTATGTTATTTATGTGATGTTGTGGCCCCGTCCGGGTTGTGTTGGGACCCGTTTTGCTTGTGGGTCGTGGACCTCCTTTAGCACTCTCTTGAGCTTGATATATAAGGGCACTTAGGTTTTGGTGTGGGATATCGAGACACTTAAAATCGCACAAAAGAGATAGAGAGAGAGAACAGGGTTTGGGGGCTGAAATTTGTAATCTTGCATAGTGAATTATTTCGTTGGATCTTCAATGTGGACCTAGGTTTTGCAAAATCACGCTAAATCTTTGTGTTCTTTGTGTAGCATGTTTATTTTCTGTTGTGATTCGTGATTGTTTCTTGGTTTTGCTGCATTTTTTTTCGACAAATGAAAAAAAAATTCTGAACTCAATTAAGCAAAAGAGTTGTATTACGTCTGTGTTTTTTTTTTTTTTTTTTTTTAATTGTTTTCTTATAAGCATAAAAGGCAATCTATTTGCTTCTTCGTCTTGTTGTGTTATTGTTTTTTAGTGTATGAAAAGTGAATATATCCTATCAGGGAGATTGATGCTCATCACAGTTAGGTTATTTTGTTACTAAAATGGGGATCCTCATACTATGTTGGATTGATTTGGGGTCCTCAGGATTGGACCGAGAATCGTAAGATTTTACAAAGTGAGAATCGTAGGATTAACATACTTGTATTTCTGCATTAAATAATTATTAAATATTACATATGACAAAACCTAAAACTCATGAAAAAAGTGTAGAAGAACTAGGACAAGTGTTTTAAACACAAACTTCCGAGAGCTCTCTTTAATAATATTGGAGCACATTATCCCTCACAAAGTAATTTGAACACTACTATTTTGACTAAGATACTCCCATCTTGTTTTCATTTCAAATTCTTGCTGTAAGTTTTACAAGAAGTTTGAGGTAACTCAATATATATATATATATATATATATATATATATGTATATCTATGTGAAATTTAAAAGAACTGGAAAAATTCAACACAATTGTATTCATCCCAATAGGGGTATTTATATGTGTGTTACGTAAAAGGGAAGCTTAAATCTAAGACTAAATGTAAGCTAAGCCTATAATTAAGCCTAAACATATGTAACAAAAGCTATGCAAATATATAAGCTAATATCAAGTCTAAATCTAAGGGGCATCTTTTTTTTTCTTTTGGGAGTGCTCCCCTCTTGAGCGCCTTTAATGAAATTTTACTTATATATATATATAAAGACTAACTATGTGTAACAAAAGATATGCAAATATACAAGCTAATATCAAGCCTAAATCTAGGGGGGCTGTCTAACACTCTCCGCAAACTCAATGGTGTAGGGAGGAAGAGTTTGGAATGCATAAGCTCAGAGCGAATGCTTGTGAAGCCCCTTAGTGAATATATATGCACTTTGAGGGCAGAAGGAACAAATTGAACTCGATGGCTACCATAGAGAATAAGTTCCCGAATGAAGTGATAATCAAGCTCAATATGCTTGGTGTTAGCATGGAAGAAAGGATTGGATGCCATGTAAGAAATGTTAAGGTTGTCACAGTACAGCGTGACGGGTGTGGAGAGAGGCACATAAAGCTCACATAGAAGATATCGTTTCCAAACGGTCTCTGCACGTGCTTGAGCAAGTGAGAGAATAGGCTATTTCTTAGCACTAAGAATTGAGATGTGGGCCCAAGAAAACATAGTAGCTAGAAGTGGAATGCCGAGTATCAAGACAACCGGCCCAATCAGAATCAGAGAAGGCATGAAGCAGAAGGACTAAAGCACCAGAGGAAGGGCGAAAGACCAATCCAAGATCCAAAGTGCCTTTGAGATAGTGCCGGAATCTTATACTACGGTGACTTTTTCTTTCTTTCCCATGCACCGGAGTCTTTACCTCCGGTAACTTTTCTCTGATTTCATCTCTGTCTTTTCTTTTCTTCTTTTCTTCCGGTTGACTACTGAATGAAGTCTTTCCTTGAAATCGCAAAGCTTCCTTGCCTCTTTAAGGGAGGACTGTTAAAGCTGCTAAGCCAAACAGAGGTCCTTCAATCTATTTCATTTTAGAGCCTTTTTTTTTGCATTGAATTTTCCTTATCTTCTTGGTCCCTTCTTTCCATTTTCTAAATTGGCAATATGATAGTTTTCAAATCTGCATCCCACGCCCATCTGCCATCAAAGTTCTTCTTTTAGGGGAAAAATATTGGATTGTAGAGTGAGATCCTTAAATGATCTTGGCTAGCTGCTTCACCAATTTGTCTCTAGACCGAACTTGACCTTAGTGAGCTTCTTTAAGAATGCGCTCATAACGTGTTGTTTTGTTTTTCCTGAGATCAACACGGACCCATTGGAAGTACTAGGGTCGTCTTACTCTTGTTCACACAGTATTAGAAGTCAGATGTTTGGTGGGGAAGTTTAACAAAGAGGTTGGGGGTTGTGATCAAATTGCAGATTGGGTGTTGCGAGTGTGGAATATTTCTTATGATGTTGCTGTTTCACCATTACCTGATTTGTTACTTCTTTTCCACCTTCCCTCCCAATTGGAGGCATGTCGGGTATTGAAGGAGGGCCGATGAGACTGCGGTGAGGTGACGTTGTGCGTGGGCACTTGGGGTTGAAGGAACAGGGGTTGAAAAGGGTTCGATTGTATGACCTTCCTTTACACTTATGCTGTCATGCCCTTTACACTTGTGGGTGATTTTTGTGGATGGTTCGTGCGGGCTGAAGCTGATGAGACCAAAGATGCCAAGAGTGTTCGTATTACGGCGTGTGATGGTTCTTTTTGTCCTCAAGCGCTCTTCATACACGACGATCGATATTGTTATAAAGTTGCGATTTGGGAAGAGACTCCACCAGAGCCTGTGCCTACAACTGAGAGTTTGGATGGAGGAGATGGTGCACATATTATGAAGGAGGAAGACTATCGGAAGCTTTTTAGTATGGGTGTGAAAGGTGCCGACGATCTCCAGAAATGTTTCTCATGCTCACGCAGATAGTGGATTTGAGGGGAAGAGAGGTGGGACACATGGCGGGCACAGAGCCCATTATCCGGATTCCAACCTTATTGTTAGGGATGATTTGAATTTCAAAACGAGGTCACGTGTAAGGGGGAGATCTTTTGATGATGTTAAAGGATGGTGGAGATCTTCTAGAAGATTAAGTGGGTTTCGAGATGGGAAGGGTGCTGGACCCGATCCAAGGGCATTTGTTGACCCAACTCATTCTGGATCAAATCGAGAGAATACTTATGATGTGGGCTTGAATAGAGAGCCCATTTTCGGTGCAAACATGATAGGGCTGGTGCATCAAGGTGTGGGTAGTTCTCATTTTGGGCCAGATTTTATATTGCGATCTGGGCCAAACAAAAAGGCCCAAGCTCCATGTCTGATTGCCCTCATTATATTGGGCCCAATTTTAAACAACGATTTGGGTCAGATTTAAAAGGCCCAAGATCCATGTGTGTTTACCATCAACATAAAGTATCTGCAAACCTTGTTTGCATAATCGTTTTGGGCCTCTTCAGTTGGGACTTAACAGTGGACTTCATGATGGGTTACATTGCCACAATGACTGTTAATGTTAAGTACTTTGATCGGCATCCACAACCTTCTTTTCAGTCTCAAAATTTACATAGAAATGTTAGACGTTCTACAAACAGAAGATAGTCTAGACAGGAGAAACAAAAGTGGGTCAAGACCAAGGCATATGATATGAACTCCGGTAAGTCTCCTGTTCTGAATTCTTGGAGCCTTTCTTCTGCTCCTCCTTCTTCTACTCCTTGTGGGGTGTTAAGGAGTTCGGTGGAGATGGATATTGGTGATTTGCTAGTTGGTTCTCGACAACTGTTGCCCGTCGTTGAAGCTGAGACGGAGGGCTGTTCGGATGTCGATTATTTGTTTTCATTAGTGGGGTCCAGGACCCCTGGGACTCTGGCTTGTGTTGCAATAAATGATTTTTCCACATGTTTGAAGGGTGGGGAAGAAGTTACAGTTTATGTTGGCCGAGAAATGAAATTCCAGTTGATGGATGAGTTTGCAGCCTTATTGGTGAAAGAGTTGCGATTGCATAAAGCCTTAAAGGGCTTAATTGTGCTTCGATGGAGGGATCTGAAGCATGCAGTGACGATTCAGAAGGAGAGTTTGGCACTCCGGTGGCTGCCAGTTGTGCATCTGTTTTTGTCTTGGATGAATGGGATGGGACATCGAACACATTGATGGGTGGGGATTTGGGGATTATGCCCTAGGATGGTGTTGCAGATGGTGATTTTTTTGTCCCTTTGGCAGTGATGGACCCTGAGGGAGTGAGGAATGAATCTTCGGATATGGGTTTAGGGGATAGGGAGGTTGATGTGGATTAGGGATAATGCAGGGGTTGTTGGCAACTTGGTTGGAGTATCCTATGAAGGGGAAATCTATCAGGCAGTGGGACTACGATTTTAACAACATCCAGTAAGTGGGGGGCAAGGCAAACGCCTTTGGAGAGAGGGGATAGGGAGGTGAGGAACCTTATCTCGTATGTCAAATATGAGGGGAAGAGTAGGAGATCAAGGGAGAGGGGTTGAGGGAAGAGAATAGGGAAGAGAAGAGGGAAGGAGAACTTAATTGTTTGCGCATGAATTTACAAATTTTATCATGGAATGTCCACGGTTTAAATGACTCGAAGAAGAGGAAGGTGGTGAAGTTGGTGATTAGTAAATGGAATGTTAATGTGGTATGTTTGT